GGGGGGGGATCCGCCGCAACCATTGCTCTACCATAGCTCTACCTTAACCTTAACGTACCGCACGATTTGCAAAGAGGCAGCCGGAGAGCAAACAGTCTAAGACATATATGTTAGCAGAATGATGTCTTTATTGCTTTTTCTCAGAAAATACAAAATGGCAGAAAAAACGAAAAACTAACTAAAACTAAAAAGGAACGAGGGAGGTGTTACTTCCACTTTAGCGCCGTGTGTCCAAGGTGAGTAACGGGGGTGCACCCGTTCAGAAAATCTGCGCAACTTCTCTCCAAAAAAGGCAGGAGCGAACTAGGGAGGTAAAAACAAAACAAAAAAACAACAACACATAAACGCACGAGGAAATTAAATATTTAGGAGGGGGAATGGTTGGGTGAAATGATTCTCATGTTGTACCTCAAGCCATCGGGCGAGCCAGCGGGTTGTCGAACTCCTGGCCGAGGGGTTGCATGCCACCGGCCTTGAAGTTGAACTGCGCTCGGAGGCTGTTCACGCACAGCAGGCAGTACACGTTCAGAGCTGCAACAAAGAGGTGACACAGCTATACAAACTGTCGAGCCTGGATCGGAAGAGTAAGAACATAACTACTAGAAGAGTGGGAAGGCGCGCGCACTGCCCCCCCCCCCCCCCTCCGCGCGCGCGTTCGCGCCCCTCCAGCGCTCCGTTATCGTTCTCCTTACTCCGGGCTCTAAAGGGGTACTCTCCTATTGTTTACGTACCTATGGCGGGGATGGTGAGGAAGAGCGACACGACGGGCGCGGGGAACGTGAACCAGACCGCCACGTGAATGACGAGGATGACGTTGATGTACTGCAGCACCAGGTAGGGCGTCAGCATGCCCCCGCGGCGCTGCAGGGGGAGAGGACAGGCACTGCATGAGCTGAGGCGGGATAGGGCGTCAGAGCCGCACAAAGTAGTCGGCGGCAGCAACGTACCTGGGAGATACCCGCCAGCATCACGACGGAGATCGAGAAAACTACGAGTCCGTAGATGAAGTTGCATATTTGAAATGCGACCCCGAAGGGCCCGCACACGAGGCTCGGCATGTTGGGCGTAATGGGCTGGTACTCGCGGCAGAAGTTCGATTCAGTCGCCCAGAGGGCCAGGCACGAAACGATGTCGAGGACACAGAAAACCTGACCAACACAAAGCAATCTTTCGACGTCAAAAACGTTCGGCATGTCGAAGTTGGCCAGCATGGATGGTCCCGACCGTGCCGCAAGCCAAAGTGTGTGAATGCCACACACTTGCAGGCGTGTGAACCGCGCACTTATAGGTGCGAGGAGTAGGGCCATATAATAGAAAGGGAAGAGAAAGGGAAGTTCCGAAGAAGATGCACACCTACACTAGATGCAAGTGCGTGAGTGAAAGTTCACATTGCTAGAAGTGTGCGACATTCATTTACACGCTAGATACGCACCAGAGTCAGGTAGCCCTGCAACTTGCAGCACACCTCCAGCGAGCAGCAGCAGCCGCGCTGCAGCATGGGCAGCCACGTCAGCCTGGGGTACTGCTCCATGGCTCCGAACTGGATGAGACGAGGAAACAACGCATGAGGAGGAGCATGCCGCGAACAACAATAAAGCGTTCCGGTAAAGCTGAAATGCAGAAGAATGCATCGAACAAAAAGCGGAAGTCACCATGTTAAAGCATTGCGATTTCCCGTTTTCTTCTTCCCCGCATTCTGCTGCATTTCAGCTTTACCGGTACGCTCTATCGAAGCCGCTAGGGTAGGAGGTGTTAGAGGGGAGGGGGTGCACAATATACACGACGGAGATCAACGGGTTTTCGACAGTAGACTCAAAACGTCAACGACTTCCGAAATAGCGCCAATTTCGGGTCCATTTTCGTATTTCTAGCGGCGTAAAAACCGATGCCAAAACGGCAAGTCTGACAATTCGCACTGGAAATACGTCTCTGGCTCTCGTGTACAAATCCCCCCCCCCCTCTCCCGCACGCGCTGCACATGGGCGCGGGAGAGCGATCCCTCCGATCGAAGTCAACAGGCCAATTTATTCAAATCGAAATGGTACTAAAACGACCTCATCCGACATTCGAATAACGGACAACATGAAGACCCCACGACGTGGAGGGGGCAGCCCAAACGTTTGACGGACACAACAGTGGGCCTCCGTCACCCGTACCGAACGGCCGGCGGTGTCACGCACCTCAAGCTCGCCGTCAAACAAGTGCCGGCGGGGTCCTGGTGCCCGGGGGACGGACGGGGTAGGGCCTACTCACCAGAAACGGACACTTCCCGTCGACAAACACCGACAAACACCGACAAACACTGGCGACACTGGCTTCTCCTGACGCGGGCCCGACGCGGCGTCAAAGCGGATCGTCTGCCAACCTGAACAGCACTGCCAGCTCTGCACTGCCGACGTCGACGTGCGGAGGCCGAGTTGGGATGCGGAGCGGACGGAGCGGACGCCGGTGAGGGAGGCGGGAGGCAGGCGGGGCGGGGCAGGGTGCG